TAAAACCAAAGCAATAGGAGAGCTGGTGCGGAATATGGTGCATCAGCCAATGTTTACCCTTTGTCTAGGTGGTCCAGGACATTCCAGGATCACAAGCGTTACCAGCCACCTCATATGATACGCGGTTTTCGGCAAACGCCAGGGTCTGCATCCATATCACAGGAGCAGCGCCTGAAACATGGATGAAAACAGATAGGCTGAGTCTGTGAACAGCCTGCAGATCCGAAAACTGAGCACAGCTGTTGGTGCGGACCTAGTTTCCGCCCATCTGGAGCATGTCTTTTGGGACTTTCCATGACTTTCCTAAGTTCTGGTTTGTCGCGCTGGGCGCTTCCCAACATTTCCAGACGTGCCGCGCAGAAAATGTGGCGCTCAATTTCACACCGTGAGCCATTGCAGCTCAGTAGACCTCCACATGGTACCGGTCTGCCTTCCTTGGCTTGGTTCATGACGCTTTTGGAACTCATCTGAAATCCATGTAAAAAAACATATATATATATATACACATATATATAGTATTCTATTACTGTAATAACTGTTGTTAAAAAATAAAAGGTCAAGTCATGTCAAGTCCACTTCCCAGGAAGGGTAGTCTGTTGGGACTCCTCCAATCCGACACTGTTGGGACTCACAACAGAAAGGGTCACGCGTGCGCCTCAACGTGGACCTGGCCGCCAAAAAGGCTTCCAGTCCAAGACCCCGTCTGGCCGCAAAAACCGATTGGCTGGTGAGACCGATGTTCCGTACATGGATGAAACGGCGAAACCAGGCGGGGGACCTCGGGGTCCCACATCCAAGCCCTGGTGGAGAAACAGCTTCATCAAGACCCAACGTCTGGCTGCGGGCTCCCTGCACAAGACCAAGCGTCTTCATGGCCTTGGCAAACTCGGCCCAAACAAGGCCGTTCTTCTCGGCAATGGGGCCGAAGCACTCCGCCATGCCGCTCTCCATGCCTCGCTGGTCTGCATGGTCTCATATGAGACCGGAGCCAAGGATGTGATGCATGCGGGAGCTTGACAAGCGCTTCACCTCATTATCCTCATTTGACTCCACCTCCTTTGGGGGCAGAATTTCAAGGGCAGGGATCGGCAGGGCAAAAAAGGCCAATAGGAATCCTGAAGCTATCCAGCTTTTGTCCATGTGAATTCAAGGCAATTTGCGGGCACACCCCATGGGAAAAAAAATCTCATTGCACTGGTCAGCACAAGTTCCCTCCAACCAGCGAGGTGGATCTCCTCAATCCTATCACTCACTTTTCCATCTTTTCCAACCGAGGCGCCCTTCAAGCCACACATGTAGACATGAGTCTTCTCATCCTGCATCATCTCCCAAAGCTCTTCGGCATACTCGGCCATCCTGGGCTATCGCTCGGCATGCGGCTGGAAGCGGCTGGAATGGCGTTAAGGCAATGCCAATCGAAATCTTCAGGTTCCTTTCAAAGAGTGAATGGACAAAACATATATATATATATAACCGTGAGAATGTAAATGTAGGCCCGGTGTGGGCCAATGGTCCTTCCCATTGGCCTTGGGGAGCCAGGGGCATGGGGGATAAAAAACAGCCGCAGCCACTTGGTCTGGATGTACATCTTCTGTCCCGCAGCGTTCTTCTGCTCGCGGCTGACGGCGTAGTCGTAGCGGAACTGGTCCGGGAAGGCCTTCTTGTAGGTCTGATGCTCGTCATCGTAGAGCAAGGACTTGGAATATGGCACACCTTGGCAGAAGTCAAAACCAATCGGCAACCATGGGCGATATTGCCCCTCCGGCCTTCATGGAAAATGGAATAACCAGGTGTGGCAAACTCCCAGAGCTGTACGTGGCACCCAAGGTGCCAGTGAACGGAGCTTGGCTCCCCACACAGTCTCGATGGATGCTTTTTGGGCGTCAGGGGCGTGCAATGACTTGGAGTCTGACACATACCCACGCCATCCACATCATCTTTCAGGCAAGGAACCCATGAAGAGCCACGCTTTGCCCTTGAACTTGCGGCCGCCATCGCTGCTTGCACCAGCCTTGTCGTGGAAGAGCAACCTGAACAGGGCGCTTCAACAAGACAGCAGCGTCGACAAAGACCTGTAGAGGGAGGCAGGAGTAGCAGCTCAAAAAAAAAGAATAGGCCCATTGGGCCTTTTGGGTGTTGTGTGTGTGTGTGTGTCCACCCCTGGACAAAGGGTTCTCCACCTCCACAGCATTTCCACCAATATTCACATGCAGGGGGCCAGCGGCCGACAAGCAAACGCTGGCTAACAAAGCTATGCTTGCTCGGTGGATGCGGTGTTTCTCCCTCATTTGACTTTCTACCACCTGTTCTCGCATGTTCAGCTTGCTCAAATCCACAACCGGTGCTCCCCGCCCACGATCCAGTGATACTTCGCCCAGCCACCATGGACGCGCAGTGGCAGCAATACTACTGGAATCATTATTTGATGCAGCAACATCATCAGCAGCTCACCAACCCGGATACCACAACCTCTCCTCCTACCACCACACACCACGCCTACAGCCCCACAGGCACCTATGGACCACTCACCCACGCACTCCGTACACACCACGTCCACCACTCCAACCCGTATGTGACTCCACCGTACACACCGCCATCGCAGCATACACCACCACCACAGGCACCAACCTCACAGCCGGAGTTTCCACCTCCGCCACCGCCACCCCTGCCTACGGCCGAACCTGTCACTCCACCACCATACACATTCCAACACAGCCCACCGCCACCACCCACCACACGCGGCAACACAGCGCCTGCCCCACCACCTCCACACATCCCATCCCCCACACCACCTGTTCCTGACTCCTGGAACCCAACCGAGCAACATTGGGACTCCAACACCCTGCACGGCCACCAACTACATCGTACAATCCAACCCACCCAGTGGTCTCGAAAAGCAGGCGTGGCAGGACTCCCCACCTTTGAGGTTTTCCCGTGGCAATTGGCTTACCACGGCACCTCCGAGTTCACCGCCCGCACCCTGAGCAACGGCAAATACACTGGCTTTATTGCCACCAGAAGCATAGCAGAGTCAGTTTTCGTGACCCATTTTCTCCAACAACTCCGTGAGAACCGCCTTGACCTTGACGGCATCGCGGAGGCTCTCCACACCCAACAGAGCACAGACATTCCCAACAAAACCACCCATGCCCGAGCGTTCCACGCTCCCCTCATCAAACTGCTTATCGACCAACTGCAAACCCACTCTCCAGCACCTGCGGAAGGCTCCGCTCTACGCGCCCTCAAAAGCACCAACGATGAACTGGCTCGTGCACGTCAGAAACTCCAAGACCTGGGCAACCCACTCACACCAGTCAAGAACACCAGCCGATCTTCCGCACCAGCCGCCCCTTCTCACGCACCCACTCCACCACCACCGAAACCACCAGCCCTCACTGACGTCTTGCAACCACCACACCCCACGTTGCAAGACGATATCCCCGAAGGCTGGAACCACCCAGAGATCCAACAATGGGTCACTACTTTCGACCCCACCATCCAAGAAGCTGCGAAGGACGTCATCCGTCTGCTGCAAACCAGCAAAGTCACCACGCAGCAGCTAAAAGAAGCAGCCACAAAGTATGGCCTACCCCTCAACCGGGTCAAACGACTCCCCATTCGCAGCCTACAACAGCTGGTGGGAGTTGGAGCAGCCATCGGTTGCTGACTCGCCATCCTGGCCCAGCAGCAACCCAGCCACACCAACCTCACCCAACTCTTCCACTTGCGCCGAGCACTTTCCATGCTCATCCACCGCACCCAATACATCGACCGTGCCGAGGCCATCTTTGCAACCGGCCTTATCCATATCACCCTCCTTTTCGCATACCCTTCCAACACCCGTCGCTCACAACAATGGCGCAACCGTCTCCGCCAGCTCCACATTTTGCCCCACACCTACCACTACCACAACTTCCTCTCCTCCAATTCAGTCTACATCAAGCTCCACTTCAATCCCGACCAGCCCCAACGCTGCTACCATCAGCATGGCCACTTCTACGTTGGCTCCACAGCTATTGGCATCACCCACCGCGAGCACAATCGCCGCGCCAAACTCAAACAACTTCAAAATAACATTCCCATTTCTGCAGAACTCTCCCTACGTTACTGACATTCACACAACAACATCCACCACTACACCACTATTCAACTCACCTCCCATGACACATACGACCAAGCCTGGATCCAAGAGCACCACTACATCGCCAACTGGATGCCTTCACTCAACTGGCCTTTCATTTCCCACCACCTCAAACTCAAAGCTCAGGGATGGCAGTTCGCGAAACACAGAGCCCACTTCTACTCTAGATTAGCCACCCACAAACGACTTTTCCGACGCCTTCGGCAACGCCAGTACACCCTCAGAGAACCCCACCTCTACACTTCCACTAAGCATCACGCCCTCCAACTTCTTCGCAATCTTACCAAGCACACCGCAGCCTCCTTTGAAGCAGCCAAAGAGCTACGAAGCGGCCGCCACACGGACCTCGAAGTCTATGCAATCCGGCGCATGGCTGCAAACCTCGAAGAACCTGGCCGCAGCCGTGCTCTCCACATCCTCAACAAAGCCTTGATCTACCGCAACCTCACGCCACCAAAACCAAACATCCCACTGACAGTGCCCTTCTTGGCCCATGACGACTTTACCAAGCACTGCCAACAATGGCTTCGTACTACCATCCAGCAGCACAAGCATGTCACCATTCCCCTCCACCTCCCCTCCCACAGACTGAGAGAAGCCGCCCACAAAACCCTCCGCTCCCACCTGCACAACCACCGCACATGGGAAGACACCCTCCACTCCCCGCCAGATCCTGCCGACCTCCCCTGTGCCTGCGATCACCTTCGCACCCTCCTGCAGGATCCCGATACCCCTACCATCAACGGCCACTACATCCTTACACTTGGCCAACTCCAACTCCCTACACACCTCAGCATTTTTCTCAACGCCAATATGAACAGCACCTACTACCCAAGCAAAGCTCGGTACTTCCTCATTTTCAAGACGGCCTACACCAAATGGCTCCAACTACAAGGGCTTCCACCATCCCTCGTTCAACACTTACAGCCCTTCCTTGAGCACCAATGGCGCCTTCACAACACACACCTAAAGCAGCAACCCCGCTTTACGGCCCGCCTGATTCGTCAACTCCAAGAACATTTGGGCAAGCACACACTACTCCACCATGCCGATCATGAGCTCCAACAACTTCGGCTGTTTTGCCCTCGCCAATACTTCACTGGCGCCTTGAACACCTGGCAATCCCCCGAACTTTTCGAACCACTTCCCTACATCACTGCCGCCAACATCCATGACCACCTGGCCGCCACTGTCCCCCCCATCCTGCGCACCCGCTACAAGTGGGGCTTCCGAAAAGACTTCAACATCCCCTACGGTGCTGTCCACCTCAAGGAGAAGAAGCACTGGCAAAAAGGCCGTACAATCATATCCTACTTCCAATCACTAAGCGGCAACTTGCTACGCATCACCAGCCGTGCCCTTGACATTATCCTCCAACACCTCTACCCTCAGCATCCAGGCCAAATGTCCATTCCCCAGCTCTGGCACCACTTTCACAGTTACCTCACCCTAACCCCACCCGACATCTCACTACATGCCACCAACGACGACCTGGTCGGCTTTTTCAACTCCGTCCCTCAGCACCGACTCATCGATGCAGTCCACTCCCTTGTCCTCCACTGGCAACAACAGCAATCCACACACACCTTAACGGTGGACGTTCAGGCCACCGGCAATCCTTTCCACCACTCCCACATTGGCAGACACCATCGGAAACACCCTACCCAACGCACCATCCAGACTTCCGACATCACCACCATCGTGGCTTTCGCCCTCAACACATGCATCTTCCGGGCTTGCAACAACACTTACAAACAAATCCGAGGGGCCGGGATTGGATCCCAGCTCTCTCCAGCCCTATGCAACGTTGCCATCACCCTCATTGAGCATTCCTGGCATCAGATCCACAACAACCTCCTTCAACACACAGACCTCCACTTTACTTACTATCGATATGTCGACAACCGCTTCATTGTCCACAACGAACATTTCCTTCAACACCCGGCCATCCAAACCCTCATCCACCACAATTTCTTTGGCGACCCGGTGGAACTCGAACCGGTGGAGGATTTTCATCTCCTCGGTTTCAACATCGACCTCCCACAACGCACCATCACCTACATGCAACCTTCCCAACCCTGGAAAATCCGGGATTCCACCACCGCCGGGAGCCAGCGCTTGGCTCTATCAGGCCTCCAATCACGACTTCACACCATTCGAAAATACACATTTCCACTCTCCAGCGCTGACGCTGCTGCGGCCGAACTCGTGAACCTATATGTCCAAAAGGGGCATGACTATCACGCCTGCCACCGGTTTTTGAAAAAGCGCCGAACGCGGCGATCTGTGTGTGTCCACCCCTGGACAAAGGGTTCTCCACCTCCACAGCATTTCCACCAATATTCACATGCAGGGGGGCCAGCGGCCGACAAGCAAACGCTGGCTAACAAAGCTATGCTTGCTCGGTGGATGCGGTCAGAGACGTCTGACCGTGTACCTGCTAAGAAACTGTTGCCCACGCTGTCCACTCCTTTGGTTTGTTTCATGGTGTTTCATGATCCCTTCCCCATAAACAGGTTTCCCACAACCACTTTTGCAGCTGCTTTGCGCCGTTTCGTCACCACAGTCAAGGGAAACAACCTTTGTTCAAACACCTACAATTTTCGCGGACTTTTCGCCATGCTGTTCCGCCACCTTCCTTCCCAGCGGAGAGTTTGAGCTTTAACGGAAAACCAGTGTCGAAGTGTGTGTCGCCTTCCCTTCTGGTGAGGACGTTCTGATGAGTCCCAAATGATGTTGTACAGTGGGCGTGCTAGAAATGCAGCAACAAAACATGTAATGTATTGGGTTCAGCTGGGTTGGTCAGAGCTTTGTTCGGTGGGAGTTGCACCCTTCCTTCAACTCCACATCTCTTGCCCCCAGCGGCTGCCTCAAATACGAGCGCATGGGTGCGATGCCAGTACCAGTGGCCAACATGATGATGTTTGCCTGCCACCAGCGTCAAAATACATGAGGCAAGTCCATGCAAGTTACAGTAACTAGCTGTGATTATATATGATGTAATGATAATGTTTATACATATATATGTGTGTGTATATGTATATAAGTGATATATACATATGTATACTCATACTTATATACATTATCTTCTTAGAATTTGCAGTACATAGAATGAATCATATACAGTAGAATGGATAGTGCCTTGCTTGTACCCATTCTCACGCATTTTGGCACATACCGTACCCACAAGCCAGTCGCGATGCTCTCTGCGCGAAAGGGCAGGGAATCTCGGCATCCGAACTGCATCCCGTCGATCCCCGTCGTTTGGTGCTGACGTCTTTCCCCCCGAAAGTGGTTCCAGCACCTCGGGGTCCTCTGGCAGCAGCATCTCTGCACCCGTGGGGCCAGTGATCAAGACTTCATCGCCTGGGGTCATGTCACAGATGTGGTTGGAGCAGACCTCGGGCAGTTGTGGCACGCCACGAAGAGGATGTGTATGCGTGTGTATTTGTTTTGGCCTGATTTGGGGAGGACTAAGGTTGGATGTCAGGATGTGTGACATGACCAGGAGGCCAGTGCGGCAAGTGGGTATCCAAGTCGCGGTGTTTCAGTCCCATTGACAGGTGAACTTGGCAATCCTACACCTGAATGAAAGAACCTTGTTCATTCTACCAGGTCGCTCTTGCCCTAAGTGAGGCATGCCATTGTCATTTCACGACTTCTGATCATCCAGCCAGTGGCAACATGTGACAGCTATTATTGGGGAGGTCAGGTTGCTTGCTCTATGAGATCATGCAGATTCTATTTGTCCACCGCTTGCTGCATTCATGCATTGTGGACATGGTCCTCCGAGTCTTCCAGGGGCCATCCCATTGCCATCCAACGCGTCTTCCGAAACAATGTCAGGGAACGTAAGCACCAACGGAAGGCTCGAACCCTTGAGCGGAACACAGCTGGCCCCTTCTTGCTTGTCCTGTTGCATTCAATGGTCTGACATCCTCAACATCTATTGAAATACATGCAAGGGCAACAAGAACATGACCTTGAGTCCTTCAGCAAAGCTGCAGTGGTTTCAGGCGGCGTAAAACAACATGGTAACGGTAACACCTGTCCGTCCGAAACTTGCTTTTAAAAAGAATATCCACGACCAACTCGACCAACTCCACCCAACTCCCGCATTCCTCCCGAGATGGATCCCACCGCGGTTGGTCAATGGAACCACCCCCAGAAAAACAGTCACAGGGTCCAGTCATCCTCCATCCTTCCACTTTGGAAGGCACATCCCCCAACTAGGAGACGTGGCACGAAACTCGCACATACCCCACCCACTTCAGATGACTGGAGGTCCAGAGCTGGTCTTCAGGATCCATCTTCCATCTTGCTCCGACCCGGGAGTTCAGAAGGGAACATGCACACCCCAATTCTCCCCCATGTTATCTCTCTTGCTCTTCTCACCTAAATGGATTCCAAACCCTCTGCAGTCGCTTAAATGGATTCCAAACCCTCCGCAGTCGCCCGGGTCACCGTCCGCCATTTCGCCCGGGTCCGCGAGTTCCTCGCGCCGAGGATCGCCGCGGTAGACCTGGTTCTCGGGGTAGGCGGTGCCCGCCTGGCGGTGAGGCTTGACGGACGGGTGAATGATTGGTCCGTGAGACGTGGCGTAGAAGAACACCATGGGTTCTTCCATATGTTGATCTTTGACGATGTTTGAGATTGATATGATATAGTTGATACTCATCTGATCGGATTTGATCATTTCTGGGGCCCAAACAGGAGAAAAACAGTGCTCACCCAAAACTGTGCGGCTCGTCCTCACTTCGCCCAAGGAGTCGGCCTTATCAGGCTTGTCCTCACCTTTCTGACGGTTGGCGAACTTGCCATCCACCTCGACCACACGCTTCACGCACAGGGAGACCTGAGGCTTCGCTGTGCGACACCGGTTCACTCACTGCGCACTGCGCAGTAGGACGAAGCTTCAACTGCCGGGGCCAGTGCATCGAGCTTCGACTGCCGGTGCTGGCGATGCCGTCCAGTCCTAGAACTGTCTTCAAAAAGTCCCAGGTAGTCGCGGAAATGAGGCAATCACGTATCACAGATGGAAGTGCTGTGTGATACAACATCCCAAATCTGGCCATCCACATGTCAATGTTCTTAAGGACCCCAGTATTTCCGAAAGTGACCCATCAGATGACTTGGTCGCACCCTGGCAACTCGAAAGCCCTGATACCTCCGTTTGCGCCGCCCAAGTGGCTGTCTTGGAGGTCTGATCATCGCCCACAGCGGAGGAGGCGATCGAGTAGAGGCGGATCTTGGCAGGTTGCTCGCCCTTCCTTGGGGGAATGCGCGAAAGGCATCGTGGATTTGCATGTTTCATGCGCGCGGTGCCAACTCACGCGCATTTCAGAGAGTGGGACCGTGCAGACCCATGCTCAAAAGTGGCCGATCTCTCCCAAACCATCCATGGATCGAAGAGTTACCTAGATGGATGGATCATTTTCATGGGTGTATAAGTATAAATGTGTCGCAACTCGTCCAATCCCAAATGGATGGCTTGGGTCCGCAACCGAGCTTCTTGTCAGGTCCCGGCGCAATGACACCTCGCTGAAAAGGTGTAAGACATCCCTCGCCAAAAAAAAACACACAATAAAAGATACTAAAAGGATAATAGGACTTGAGGGGATACAATCGAATATAATATACAACTACCCAGCTTGGATTTGCTAAAGAGGAACCTGGACAATATTCCACCTAAAAGGATTCGCCAATTGCCAAAGTAGGTGAGTAATAGAAAACCTGATCCGCAAAGCAAGGAGAAAAACATCACAGCAAAGCCCGAGCCACCAATGGACTGGCCCTCGATGTAAGGAACCTTGCCTCCATGGTCGAAGGTCACATGGGTCGTCTCCCAGTTGGCATCGCCAGTGGGTTCGGTCAAGGTCTGTTTATGCACGTCATTCTCAACCACCTTTCCCTGGTAAGGCGCCTTTGGGGAGAAGAGGTTCCATGGGATCTCCTTGCCGTGCACCACCTTCACGCCCTTCTTCTTCACCGCGGCCGCGCGGCACGCGGTAGCCGCCGGACGGGCTGCCAGCAGTCCCAGCCCCAGTGCTGCCGCACCAACACCTGCAGCACCGGCAAGGCCAGGGCCGGTGGAGTCGCGGGAGCTGTGAGGGGCACCACGGAGGGCAGGCGCAGGGGCAGGGGCGGCACTGGGTGCCAAGAAGGCGGTGCTGGCACCGAGAAGGGCTCCGACGGCAGCAGCCTGGGCCATGGTATCAAATGTGATGCAGCAAGGAGCTTGAGATAGACAGATCTGCGCTGCGTGTCGGCAAAGGTTCATGGCCCCCCGTCAGATCCTACTTAGCACAAACGCGATGCTTGTGTAACCCATGCCACCGAAACCAATCTTGGGCTCCAAGTTATTCCAGTAACACTTGGATCCCCAGTGGCGCAAAAATAACTGCCCTGCTATTCCAGCACATGTTTCTCTCTGAGGAAAAAACATGTAGCCAGGCAGGTGTCCATGCGGCTCATTCCCCCATGCCCATCATGCCAGTCTGATTCCAATCAAAACCAGTCCCGCTTCTTTCGATTCCAACTGCATGCCCTGCCGCATGCCCTGCCTTCCCTCACCGCGGACCTCCGCTGCTTGAGCCGCAGAAGACTCGTTCACTGCCCAGCGATGGGATCGATGACCGGATCCACCTTCCCTAAGATAAGTTAAGTAAGGATTCACGATGATTCACGTATGAATCTTGCACATCTTCTCACGTACTGCACATGCCCGCCAACATCCATGCTCAAGATCTGCAGCGTAGAAGGCTGGTTGCCCGCCATCTTTTTACCACAAAGCAGCCACGAAGCTTTGCCCTCAGGATTGGGAGAAGTAGACATCTTCCATGGGCAAGGGGTTGCCTGAGCTGAAGATCTTTCAACCGATGCTCGTTCTTGACCGTCCCCCACAGGATTCCATGCTCGGTTCCAGGTGACACCTTGTTACAAACCGTTGCAAACGCGATGCCAAGGGCCTTTCGAAAGCTGCCCCCGGGTCTAAATGCGGATAAATGATGATACAGTAGATGATCGATGTGTCTTTCCGAACGGCCACCTACAGCGCCAAAGTTATTCGGGGCCCCTCAAAACACCATGGATGGATGCGCCAAACAGTTCGAGACACTACACCCTACGGCCCTACGGCCCTACCTATACTTACATAACGGGCCACCTACTGATGATTCGATCTCCGTCCTGTGCTGCCAGGCTTTCTTTCTTGCCAGTCATCCAAGATCAACCGGTCAACCCTTGCGCAGAAACTGGGAGGAGTCCTCCAGCATCTGGTCCAATCCAAAGTCCCCCAAATCGATCCAAACGCTTTCCAAATGTTTCCAATAATTTTGAGTGGGGATTGGCTTTGCTTTTCTATCTATGAAGGGGACCATGATATTCTGGGGGTCCAGATAGTCCAAACCCGATCCAGGAGGCTCTCGCGGCGAAGCACGAAGACGCTTCCACTCTTGGATCCTCGGGAGATGCCTCGCGACCGGCGACGGGCGACGCATCGAAGAAGGTGCTGCATCGACGCGCCTTGTTCGGTTGACATGGTGCGAACGGGAGAATCAAGCGCCGTTATGCGCCGTTCGTCACTTCCACCATTGTACACCGTCGACGTGCGGCCCAAATCCGTTGGACGCAGGTGGCATCATGTTCCGCCCGTTTGCCATGGATGACTTTGTTGGTACATGTTTGTCGTGTCTCACGTCCAGACCAGGTCCTGGACTAGGTCCTGGTTTCGCGGGAGATGTCTTTGAGGAGTCCGGACGAGCTCCTCCTGAGTGACAGCTTTGGGCGCCCAGTCCCGACACGCACGCGCGACGCACCGTGGCTTGTCAAGTCTCCCACCGCTGGCTCTCAGGATCCACTTCCAAAAAATACGGCGATGCTACTGGCGATGAATAATCAATCATGAGACAACTCCCCAGCTCGCTCCTAACAAATCTGGATCGACCTCCCTTGGTCTCAAAAGGGCGTTTGGAAGATTCGTGTGATGTAGAATGCTGATTTACAAAACATCCCCCCATTTGAACTGTCAGACCTCTTCATATTTTGCGTTTGGTTTCATCAAGAGTTTACATTAGCTACTTGTGGAGCACCAGTGTCCAAAGCGTGGTCCTCTTTCCAGTCAGCCACCGCCCGGTCGATGCAGGACCGTGGGCGTCACGGCCATGGCCTCCAGCAGCAGCAAGGCGTCTTGCCAGTGACGGCCGGATTCACAGGCACTGATGGCTGCACTGTAGCAAATGACATTCGGTGAAAGTTGCACCTGTACCATGTCCATATACACCCGCAAGGCTTTCTGCCACTGAGCGCACTTCGCGCAAACACCAATGGTCGCACTGTAGCTGATCGTATCCGCCTGAACTTTGCCATTGGCCATGGTGCCAAAAAGCAGCAACGCAGCCTGCCATTGCCCGCCCTTCTCACAAGCACTGATGGCGGCGGTGCAGCTGATCACATTCGGCAAAAGTTTGACCTTGGCCATGGCCTCAAAAACTACCAATGTTGCCTGCCATTGGCACCCCTTCTCAGTGGCAGTGAGTGCAGCATTGTAGCTGATGGTATCGTGCTGAACTTTGGCCTTCACCATCGCCCCAAACAATAACAGTGCCCCTTGCCATTCACCGCCCTTTTGACAGGCGTTGATGGTAGCAGTGTAGCTAGCGACATCCGGAAGAAGTTTCGCCTCCAGCATGCCATCAAATAAAAGCAAAGCTGCCTGCCACTGGGTGCTCTCTTCGCAGGCGCTGACAGCCGAATTGTAGCTGATGACATCCTGCTGAACTTTGGCATTGACCATGTTCCCGAACAGCAACAGCGCACCCCGCCATTCACCACCCTTCTCGAAGGCACTGATAGCAGCACTGAAGCTAACAACACTGGACTGAAACTTGGCCTTGGCCATATCGCTAAACAACCACAAAGCTACCTGCCACCGACCGCCCTTCTCACAAGCACTGATGCCCGCATTGTAGCTAATGACGCTCCACTGAACCTTGGCCATGGCCATGACCTTGAACAACACCAAGGCTTCCTCCCACTTTGCCCCCTTCTCGCAGGCAGTGATGGCTGCATTGTAGCTTGTCGTGTCCAACTGAACTCCTGCCGCAGCCATGGCACCAAAGAAGGCCAACGCTGCCTCCCATTGGCTGGCCTTCTCGCAAGCACTGATGGTGGCGGTGTAGCTGATGACATTCGGCAGAACTTCAGCCCTTGGCATCGCCTCCAATAGCAGCGATGCTGCATTCCATTGACCCCTGTTCTCACACCCACTGATGGCTGCATTGTAGCTGATGGTATCGTGCTTAACTTTGGCCTTCACCATCTCGCCAAACAACAACAATGCGCCCTGCCATTCACCACCCTTCTCACAGGCGTTGATGGCGGCACTGTAGCTAATAACACTCTGCTGCACTTTGGCCACAAACATAGCCTCAAACAAAAGCAATGCTTGCTGCCATTGGCCACTCTTGACACAGGCACTGATCGCCGCGCTGTAGCTAATGATGCTATGCTCATTTTGTGCCTTGACCATGGATTCCAACAATAGCAATCCTCCCCGCCATCGCGCACCCTTCTCGAAAGCACTGATGGCTGCATTGTAGCTGACCGTGTCCTGCCGCATCTTGCCATTGCCCATCCCCTCGAACAAAATCAATGCTTCCTGCCATTGCCAGCACTTCCTGCAAGCACTGATGGTCGCATTGCGGCTAATTGTATCCTGCTGAATGTTTGCCCTGGCCATGGCCTCAAGCAAAAGCAACGCCTTCAGCCAAAGTTTCGTCCTGGTACATGAAAGGATTTCCAACTTGCACTCACACGCGCTGAGCTTGACACCGCCTAAACAAAGCGTGATGCCCTCAGTCGTGACGGCGTTCCTCATTCCAGTGAGCTCCCTGCATGACGTCCCTCTTCACAACGAGTGCCCACTTGAAGGAGTCACAGGCCCTGAGGTGAAACCCACGCTCTGAAGTTGACAAGTGCCACGTGCATCACAAAACGCCCTCGTTCAGGCGTGGATTCAGCAAGCAAGCTGACTCTGTCTTTGAACTCTGCTCTGAGTTGGCGGATTCTGCTCCGAAATTCCCAGCATTCGGCTGCCAGAATTCGAAGCAAATGGCAGAACGTTCGCCTCCACACTGCTCCAACATGAACAGGATGTTCGGTGCTCCAGGTTTACAAAGGTTGTTTGAGCCACATCGATTCGTTTGGTCAAGAAGCGAGACGAGTTGCGGAGGGGTTAGTCTTGCCCATCTGCCATCAAAAGCTGGCATTCCCTGAGCTCTTGAAATGGACGAACGCACTTGTGAGAAGTCATTAGCAAAAGTTACAACTTCAAGGAACAAAGCAACTCGTCCTAATGGCAAAAAGTCAACTGTCATAATATTGTACTAAAGTTAGTTCATGTTAGTTCACCATCCCCAAGGAAGGCAATGGATTCAAGCTTGCAGCGTACTAGGAATACACCTGTCCCTGGTTCCAATGTTCTCCGGCATAGAGGAACCAATGACTTCAAGTCCCCATCACAAAAAGGTACGTGCAGGTCCCTCATGGTTCTACAGTACCCCGCTCCTCCTCGCTCGTCCTTGCTTCTGCAGAACAATTGACCTCTTCATCAGAAGCAGAAACAAAGGCGGCAGAGTCG